TTTTTTTACTCTCATTCATTTGGACTAGTAATTAGTTTTGGCCTATAAAATGCCACCCTTTAATCATCCAAAGGCAGATGTGATTTGCAGTGCAATTTAATCTTGCTTTAATGAAGAACTAATGGATGTATTGCAAATTACATTTTTTCCTGTACAGGAGGGAAAAAATCTATTTCCTGCTTTTGAAAAGATCAAGAGTATCTTTGATAATAGCCGGAGAGGGCTGGAGAGCTCCACTGCATCAAGCCAACAAGCTCTTTTGCTCGACTCACCATTCAATAGAAAGGAGGCCACAATTAGCAACAAAGCAGCGAAAATGCATCCGTACAGCAGAATCGCTCATCGTGGCTCAACCCCTCGGCTCTCGAAGCCTTGTTAGCGGCAGGGCTAAAGTGTCACGGAGGAACAATGGGCCGTGATAAATTACCCTTCTCCAAAAAAAAGATGTACGGCTAATTTTCAATTATAGCTAAAAAAGCATCACAGATTGAAGAGAAATTGAACATGCGCGGGGCGCGAACTAATAGATACGCTCGCTCCCATGTCAGCCTCTTCAGTTTTGTCTGATTATGAGAAAATAATTATAATTTTTCATTCAGGAAGATTTTAGAAGAGCTATGTGCACAATATGGGTCTAGCTCAAAACACTGATGTTTACAAACTGCATGGCACCATACCAGAATGTTACAGAATGGAAATCTGAGAAAATATAAATTGAGTTTATTTAATAATGATAGGACATTTTTTTATTTGTATTAAACAGTCTCCAACTTTCTGACAGAAATTGAGCAGATGAACCCTTAAATGTGCACTTTTAATGTACTTCAAATCTTAATTGACTTACAAAAAAAAAAAAAAAAAAAAAAAAAAAAAAAAATATATATATATATTTTTTTTAAACTGTACTTGCAGATAATATAATATTAATGAAATAAAAGGCCACTTAAGTGACTTAGGCCTGGTTTCACAGACAAGGCTTAGACTAAACCAGGATTAGGCCATAGTTTAATTAAGACATTTAAGTAATGTTTATAAACGTGCCTTAGAAAAAAAAACGTTACTGGTCTTGAGACAAAACAAGGGTGCTAACATATTTTAAGATCAATCAGTGCGAGTTTCTTTTAGTTGAAACAGCTCAGACTTACATTTTAGTCTGGGACTAGGCTTAAGCCTTGTCTGTGAAACTGGGGGTTAGTGATTTTTTTTTAGCACACTTAAGTACATTAAGTGCACTCAAATGAAAAGTGTTACTTTAAAGTACACTTTAAATCATTGTTTTAATTATATTTTGTGGTGCTACTTATTTTGATGTGCTGACTATCACATGTGAAGTACTTGATTATAATTTTAAATCTAGTGTTATTTGATATTACATTTAAGTTAATATATTTTAAATGTACTAAATTGCAACTTCATCATTACAGTGTGTAATTACAAATATATTTAAATGCATGATGTACAACTTTGATAGAAATGACATTGCAGTATATAAAAAATTACATACAGTATATTAAAAAATATTTTTACCATAAATGCCTGTCAGTACATTCAGCAGTACACTTTTTATCCATATTTCCAAGACAATATAACCAATATAACCAAGACTATAGAAATAATTATAAATAATTCTATACAAAGATATACTCATTTCCTACTTAAGTGAGCCAAAAAAGAACTCTAAAGTTGCATTTAATATAAATTGAAACTATATTACATTTTATTTAATTGCAATAATCATATACAGTAAGAATAGTATTACTTTAAGGCCTCATTTGTTAATGTATTAACATTAACGGTAAGAAATATCTTTTTACAACATTTATTAACCTTTGTTGATGTTAGTTAGCAAAAATGTTAATGTACACTGTGCATTACTATTATTAATATTAACAGATACAACGTTTGATCTTAAAAAATGTAGTAAATGTTGAAATTAACATGATATAAGATTTATGAATGCTTATTCATTCTTAGTTCATGTTAACTAATGTAGTTAACTAATGTTAATAAATAAAACCTGCTGGTAAAGTGTTATCATTTCTGTCAAGTGTACTTCTTTTTCACATGGAAAGACTATTAGATAAAGTAATATGTAGCAAATGTATGACTTTTGTTAGCATCCGAGACAGTCAGCATTCTGGCTCAAATATTAAAGATGGATTTCATCATATAAACGCATTAAAAACATTGAAACTAAGGAAGGGGCTTGTCCAAATGAGCCCTCAAGTATCTCGGTGTGTACGCGTGTTTCCTAAAAATGAGAGAAGACGAAATCCTAATAGAAGTTGGGCTTAACTCCAGAAACAGCCCGCCTGTATATCTGATTACTGGGGGCCAGTAATTTCTTTTTTAAATAAGGGAAAAATTGGATAGAATGAATGAAATTTCCCTGTCGTAGTGCAATGATGGTACCTCTGGAGATTATGTATTTTTATAATCATTCATCAGCGGTGAGAGTGCTCGGGCTTAGCATAATGGAATTCGTAAACTGGTTTAAGTCTGAACACGGGCTATACTATCAGTCAGACCATAAACGCTTATATGGCAGACATTTACAGCGGCACACACTGTAGGTGATTTTGCCTGCAGATTTTAAACATGTGGGTTGAGAGTGATTGCGGGAACCCCTGCCCCAAATATTTATTCCCAGAAAAACATGAGGCGCTCATGATGAATAACATTTGCTGAAGACATTTGCCTGAGCTTTGGGCACCCAAACATGTTAATGCATGTAAATGCTTAATGCATATCAAATATGAATATAAATCTATAGTGGATGAGTGTTGTGTAAATAAAATATGTGGCTAACTTTAGTTTAATGTGACTTTGCCTATTCAAGTGTTTGAACAGACAACATTTTAGTAATATTTATCAATAATATATTGTGTGTTAACATGTTAAAGTGTGTAATAACTATGATTTATATATATATATATATATAATACATATTATGTACATATTTCTAATAAATATATAGTATATAAAACAAACATTAATATAAATGTAGGTAGACTACATATTATTAAACAACTAATGTAGTATTATATTAAGAGGCCATTGTTTTGCTTGAAAATGTTGGATTATGTTTATCAAATATTAATGGCTGAAATCAGTGTATGAGAATATCTAAATAAAATTATTGATATTTCACCACTAGATGTCAGTATCAGATTTTGCCAACTTGTGATCTCATTCTGTTAGTGAAAGACAGTTATTTTATTTTATTATTTTATTATTTTTTTTAACAAACAAGTCAACATGAATTTCTGAAACTTTGAATACACTGTTTGCAATTTTCATTGCTTTTTATGGTGAATTTGTCATAGCATGGTTTTGTTCCAGCCACAATTTAAAATACATCAATTAAAGAAATAATAAAGCAAAGTAAAAAGTAGAAAGAAGGGATAGTGTTTATAATTTTGATGTAATAAAGTGCCATTCAAAGTTATATTTAATAACTTTAAATGTGTCATATTCAGAAAACTGAATATTTGGTTGAAGAATTCTCTTTATTATATAATTTGATCATTAAAATGTCAATATTAAGAAAATTTTAAGCGATTATGTAAATATGTAATGTATGATGTAAATGTGTGAAAAAGTGTGTAGAGGATTAATTAGTAATTAGTAAAATTCACATGCATCATAGTAAAAGTAATGATACAGTTATGGGAATATATTTAAAGTAGCCCATGAGAAAAATAATTGGCTAAACGTAATAAATGATATTAAATGTACTAAGTATCAAAGGTACAAGTGAATGACATAATGGCGCAGCTGATTATACAGTAGCCATGGCAACATGCATGATTGATGGATGCTGGAGTCTATGTTAGGATATCCAGAATATCTCTCCAACTGATTCAGTAAGCGAATAAAATATGGTAGCATGCCTCTGCCTCATTTTATATGTAAAGTCCAGAGTGACGCATGTTTTCCAGTTTGCATTGCAGCTGCTGGATTTATTATTATGGGTGCTTGGGAGTCTATGTTAGGATATCCAGAATATCTCTCCAACTGATTCAGTAAGCGAATAAAATATGGTAGCATGCCTCTGCCACATTTTATATGCAAAGTCCAGAGTGACGCATGTTTTCCCAGTTTGCATTGCAGCTGCTGGATTTATTATTATGGGTGCTTGATAAGGAAAGCAACACTATTACTATTGCAGATAGCTGAGGTTAGTGATCTGAACAAATGCCTGACCATAAGTGTTAAACTCCAATATGTGACTCATCACATGAATGCAACCACATAACAATGAACTAAAAACACTGAGAACACCTTAACAACTGTTTAGCAATGCCATGGCAACCACCCAGAACACCATAGGAAACACTAAACAATGCACTAAAACACGAGAACACCTTGGCAACTTCTTTGCAATTGTTCCATTGTTATACTGTCAGTAATTTGTCTTTTTATGCATGCGCCACATATAAACTTTGTTTATAAGTGCAATATGTTTGAAGAAAAGTGAGTGTTAATTTAGCTGTTTCAGGTTAAATTATTTTTCAAGTGTTATCAGATATTTTCTAGTCACTGATTAACATACGTGTCTTAAAATTGTAGATTATATACTGTGGGTAACACGCTATCTGCTAAATATTACAAATATGAACAGTTTCTTAGGTTCAATGGAAATTACTAACTTTTTCATAATGTATAATGTTTAAAGCTGTTAAAAAAATAATTATATCCAAAACACAGGCTAAAGTTTAAGTGTATTTTTTTCGGATTCCCCATAACTCTGTTGTCTTTGATTCAGATTTGCGATTCACAAAACAAACCAAATGAAGCTGTTTGAACCAATTTCAAAATGTAGTGAAAGTAAAAGTCAACAGAATCATTTATACTTGAGTTAAGTAAAATAAAAAAAAATACTGTTCAAGTATACGTTTGTTTATACTTCTTTACTATACAGCATCTCAGGCTAAAGTACTGTATGTATGTAGTATGAAGGAGTTCCTCAGGGTTCACTGCTGAGCCCTGTAGAGTTCTAGAACTTTACCCAGCATCCTGTTCGCGCTCAACATGGAGGAACTGACGGTGGAGGTCCGTGGCTCCAATGGAGCTTATTATAAGGTAAATATTTTATTTTACTCCATTCTCTTTTACTGTACTCACGCATTCGTATCTTAAGACAGCGAGGATGATACAACTTTGAAGAAAATATTGGAAATCGAGCTACATCGTGTACTTTCGACGCATATAAATAGTACTCGACTCAGTGGCTTAGCCGTTAGCCGGTTAGCAGCTGTGCGAGGATAATATTTAAATAAAAACATTACTTCAGAATAATGCTAACGTTTATTTAACCTCGACTTCAAATACAAAAGTGGTTTGCATTAGGAGAAACTGAGTTTCAAGGTTAGAATAACTGACTTTTGGTTTCAGTTTGTTTATCTGCTAAGTGTTATTGAGTATTATTCAGTCAGGCGCTCGGTTATGTCGTCTTTCAACGATTTATATGAACAGAATCACAATGAATGCTCAGATAAAAGATAACACTACTTAAACACTAATATAAAATCAGTAATTGGGCTTTGTTCTTAATTTCAAACATGCTCTCGGTCATATTCTTTGGTTTTACCATCATTATAGTGAAGCACATAATAGCCTATTAAGCATTCAGAACCATTTATAATGAAAATAAGCTGTTTAGTTGAAGTGAGATTGATAAGTGGGTTCATTTCAGCTAAGAAGACTCCAGGAAGCCCATATTCATGATTTAAGGTGTGGTCAGAAATGATCAGATCATATGCAGCTTGTTTTCTGAGTCCAGATTTTGATTCTCTAAAGAAACTTCCAAGCAATGCGTCTGTGGTTTGGTTTTGTGTAGTATTTACTGTTTACACCATACACGAGTCTATAGCTTTCTACCTAGGGTATATATTAATAAACACAAGTGCCAGTTGGAGAGTCTAATTGAAGTTATTATTCCGTCTCCATCTCATCCTTCAGTTATTCAGCGCTGGTCATTTTGCTCAGGCTTCTCTCAATGCATGTCAGCTGTTGGCTTTCCATCTGCAGCTGTCATTCAGCAGCAGGTATTTTAACACCGGTCTATTTTGAGATGAGGTTTTAGAGATACCAACTTACATTTTGGAGTCAGTTGCCATTGAGAGGCAGTGCTGACCACCTAGGATTGAAGTATCAGTTTATTTTTATATTGTAAATTGATTTTATATTTGATCGATCCCACCGAACAAAATAATACTCCTTTATGAAACATTATTTTAATGTTTTATTCATCAGAATGCTGTTATACTATACTATTGCTATTATGACTAAGTGACTTGTATGTATAACCACACTTCAAATAAGCAAGCTCTCTGACGTCAAATCTCATTGAATGATTCATTGAAAAAGCTGGCTCATAAATGTCAAACTACACTAGTTGTGTTATACATTTGTTCTTGTGTGATTTCAGCCGGGAAAACACAATTATAAAATGTTTTTTTTTAAATATTTGGTGTTAAAGAACTTTACCGTGTTTGTTTGTTTTATAGGTTTTTGTAATTTGTATTATAAAAGGCTATCATACGTTTTAAAAAATATTTATTTTGTGGTGGTTAGTCTTTTTAATCTCATAACTTTAGGACTTTAAGTGTTATATTAGTATTATTTAAATATGATTTATTGTTAATGTTGAATTAGCTTTCATTTTTATATGATGTTTTCTATATAAATTAAGTAATTTCACTTCATTTTTAATTAAACTTCAATTCTGTTAGCTGCCAAGGCAACATTTATTTTTAATTTTTTTTATTTATTTTTTTTTGTGAAAGAATAAAGTAATAATCCCCGTGAAGCCGTGGTTTACAGTGAATTTATAACAGCTAAGGGGCGTTGTTACGACGCAAAGCAGAGTGCCTAAAACCCACTTAGCTGTTATAAATTCACTGTAAACCACGGCTTCACGGGGATTATTACTTTATTCTTTCACAAAAAAAAATAAATAAAAAAAATTAAAAATAAATGTTGCCTTGGCAGCTAACAGAAGGCTCAGCCAATCAGAATCAAGGACCGGAACTCTCCGTTTTATACATATTTTTATTTCAATGAACAATATGTTGAAGTCTTATTAGTTAACACTATTTTGAACCGCAAATTCATAATATAATAGTATTAGCGAATTCTCACTCACACTTGATAAAGCTTTTTATACGTTTAAATAACACTTGTTTAAATGTTTTATGTTTATTCGATAGAGCTGTCTTTTTTGTTATTTTATTATTATTTAAATGCTATTATAGTTTTTATTGATATTTTGAATTGATTTTTATTTGTACATTTTTATATAATTTCTTTTTTAAATATATTTTATATTTTTGTGTAAAATTTTACATATATTTTATATTTTTGTGTCTAATGTTTTAGTTAACGATTGTAACCCTGTTTTGCACCTATCTTGTATAATAGCATTAGTGGATTCACTTTTTAATAAAACTTCTATTTTTTTTTTTATCAATTTACATTTATTTGTAATAAATAACAGTTTTATTTGTTTTAACAAATCTCATTATTCCAGGGCTTTGTCAAAGACGTTCACGACGACTCGCTCTCCGTTTCGTTTGAAAATAAGTGAGTAGAAGCTAATAGTTTCCAATCATGACAGTAATGCTTTTGAAATGAGCTTTGGTGGACGAGCATCATTATATGAAATGATTTTCTCAGCTGGCAACCTGAAAGACAAGCTCCCTTCAGCGATGTGCGGTTACCACCTCCTGCTGACGGCAAAAAGGAGATCACCGAAGGAGAAGAAGTGGAGGTGAAGTGGAAGATGTTTTTATTATCAGTAATGCACAGCCGTGAAGCTCTTAACACGTGTTGTTTTGTGTTCAGATTTACTCCCGAGCGAACGAGCAGGAGCCCTGCGGCTGGTGGCTGGCTAAAGTGTGCATGATGAAAGGAGATGTGAGTGTGACGCGCCTCTCGCTAAGCTTTCTGGTTCCTCTGAGGAGCTCGGAGTTCACTTTCACTTTTGTTTTCTGCAGTTCTACGTTATCGAGTACGCCGCGTGTGACGCAACCTACAACGAGATCGTAACGTTTGAGCGTCTCCGCCCGGTCAACCGCAATAAAGCTGTGACGGAGAGCACATTCTTTAAGTGTGCCGTTCCTGTCCCAGATGATCTCAGAGCAGCGTGAGTACGGGCTTCAGTGTGGGACACAAACATTACTGTTATTTAAGATAAGTAATAATTTACACAATCACAACCATATCATACCTAATGAGGTGCATCCTGGGATGTTAATATATATACTAGTTATATCATATATTTTATATAATATTTACATATGTGACCCTGGAGCACAAAAGCAGTCTTAAGTCGCTGGGGTATATTTGTAGCAATAGCCAACAATACATTGTATGGGTCAAAATTATTGCTTTTTCTTTTATGCCAAAAATCATTAGGATATTAAGTAAAGATCATGTTCCATGAAGATATTTTGTAAATTTCCTACTGTAAATATATCAAAACTTAATTTCTGATTAGTAATATGCATTGCTAAGAACTTCATTTTAACAACTTTAAAGATGATTTTCTCAATATTTAGATTTTTTTGCACTCTCAGATTCCAGATTTTCAAATAGTTGTATCTCAACCAAATATTATCCTATCATAACAAACCATACATCAATGGAGAGCTTATTTATTCATGATGTATACATCTCAATATCACAAAATTGACCCTTATGACTGCTTTTGTGGTCCAGGGTCACATATGGTATTTTATATAATATCTAAACAAAAAGTCTTTATCCCAACTCAGTTTTTGCCATGAAGATAGACTTAGATGCTGACATGGCATTAAAAATAAATAATAAATAACTACTAATACTACTATTAATATCTAAACAAAATAGAAGCTGGCATTTGTATTTGGTGTTTTGTTTTTTGCGTCTTTTTATCTCATACCTTTTGGATTATATATATTTTTATTATTATTCAAATGTTATTATTTTTATTAAAGTCTTGAATTGGTTATTTTCCAGTTTTCTTTAAAAAAAAAAAAGTTAATATAAAAAATATAAAACTATAAAAATAATCTAAAATATTTTCATATAAAAACTTAATATAAATATTTAAAAAATCAAATTCTTTGAATTTGTAAATAAATTTGTAAATGTTTGAATTAGCTTTTATTTTTATACTTCCAGTTTCTGTTTAGGTTTAATTTATTTGTAGTGAAGTTTAAGGTTTTATTTGTTTCCAGTTATT